TATAGGATGATAATAATACTGATAACAAACTTCTGTTAGACATAGTGACAGTGAGGTTAATTATAAACAAAGGTATTAAAAAATTTTTATAAAGCAAGGAAAGTTATTCCATGTTATGAAAGAATTTCTATTCCAACTCCATAGATGACCGAGATATTGTATTAAGGTTTACGAATATATATCTTAAAGGTCACAACTAAATATAATGTTCAACAGTTCCATACTATGATGAAACAACCGTTCAATGCTTCCAGATTTTAAATGGTGGTCTAACACTGATCCGTTCATGATATCAATCTAAGTTCAATAATCTATAAAACCCTATACTGATAGTTCTTCAGTCATTTAAAAAAGACCACCGTCATATTAATCGAGTTTCTAAAAAAAATTTCATTAAGTTGCTCAAAAGTTAATATTCAGCTGTTATGAACACTTTCCAGCGAAAAAACTTATCACTAGTATTCAGTGATTTCAGTTATTTAATATTATTCTCAAACCAGTGATCATTACTTATATAAAGTAGTTTGATTTTCCTGAAGTGTTACTTTTAAGGATTTTATTCCACTTCATCTAAAGTGATAAACACAAGCTGGCAATTTTTTGTACGATACAAATTCCACGTCTTTTTACGATTATTTATTTTTAATGCTTGATCTTAATCCATCAGAATACTTTCCAAAAAATAATAATGACTACAAGACATAAACAACCTTATGATTGAAATAATTAACAAAACCTCATATTTATGATTCAACTATTATAATACATAAATGGGTAGCTATGTAAATCACAGTACTGTATCGAATAGGCTAATAAGTAAAAATCAATTTCTTGTAGTTTGATATATAAAAATAAACCGAAAACAAAGTTGTTCATTTAATTTTGAGTATATCACATTTAAGTAAACTCAAGAAGTAACAATCACATTGTCTGATGATGACACCTTAAGATGATGATCTATTAGGTCGTAAAATATAAACAATAAACATTGTGAGATACAGAGAATTCATTTAATTATGTTGTAAATCTTCTGCATCCTTTTTTATAACCACCATACATATAAATGAAACTATTATAAGGACCTTATATAGTATGACTCAGTTTATTAGTAGAACTAATAATCATCGTCATCACTATTTTCCATACTCATAAATGTTTAATTCATACAGCAATAGAACTAATGACACAATCATTTACAGATATTATTTGTAAATATGGTAGACGAAATGACATAATTACTAGTATTTACAAAAATAAATATATCAGTTATTGTATAGAGAACCTAGAAAAGACAAGATTAAATAAATAAGCATTATCCTACAACTTTGTTATTCTTGACTCCTATAAACTTATCAAAATAAGTAAATGTATAAAAGTTACATTCTTCATTACTTTAAACTTAAATAATCATATATTCGTTGTATCAGGATTTGTAATGGAAATTTAAACAGGTGATCTGTAGAGAATTGTTTGATCTAAATATAACTTTTCTTCACCGAGTAGTATATACTGGAGAGCCACTGAAAATTAAAAAAATAGTGAATACTCGTTTCTTTTTAGTTTAACATTTCTTTATATATCAAAGTAGCTCATGATAGATTTAGACTTTCAAGCTGGGATCTAAAAGTTTACATTTCCAATTACAGCCGACCAATGATAAACCATGATTATCGTTCCGATGTTATGGGTGATAATTATTTTACATGTAGCATGGTTTAACTGTACAGATTCCAACATGTTATTAATACCTTGGAAACGCACTTCAAAGATAATCACCAGTGAGTACATGATTTTGTGTAAATCTCTTATTGTGTAATAAAAATATTTCCACGTAGTATACATCATACTCTTTTAACTATCTTTTTTAGATAACTACTGTTTACTTAATGATTCTAATGAAGAAATACTGAACTATCAAACCAGCTGTGTATTGAGAGAGGGAAAGTTAACCATAAGTGTTACTGGCTGATGATTACATTTGAATTACGTAATAATAGGTAAATATTCATTTAACAAATGATGAAAATTGTCATTTAGATTTAAATTGTGATGTCAGATAATAAAATGAAGTATGCCAGACAAATTTTTAAATATTAGACGAAGCAATAACTAAAGTAATTCACAACCTCATCAAAAAAGAGGTTACGAGAAAACACTAGAAAAGAAATCATCTGTTATGTTTAGAAACCCTTAATCAAATTCTAACTGTAAGTAGGTTATCTGGTAAACATTTGACTGAAGTATAGTAAAATGTATGTAAATCATCTAATTTGTAAACCTGAATTGGTTTAATCTTCAGTAATAGGAGGAATTTATAACTTAAAATAATGGACTCGACCAATTAACTTTATCAGTATAGGATTACAGAGATTGTTGACTTTCATTAAAATCACAAACCGATCGAAGTTAGACGCCCATTCAAAAACTGGAAGCATTAAACGACCGTTTCGTTCTAGTATGAAAATCCTTTGTTATTTAATCGTTATTGCTTCATTGTCATAGTGGATGACTCAATTAACATTTATTTTGCCAACTATTACGTTCTATTGACATGTGCTACAGACGTCTTCAGTATAAATTTCAAACGAGATTAATTTTCCAGCAAACTGGACAATAAATTTTTATTTCAAAGTTTACCAGCTCAGTCATTCAATGATGCTTGAGTGAACTATTAAAATGACTTACTGTTAGACAAGTTCATTGTAATCTAAAAGCTGTGAACAAGTTATTATACTAAAAATTACTATACAAATCTGCATTTTTTTATGAAACAATCGAATCCCTTATCTAATCATGTTAAAATCCATATCTTATCAATTGTTGACGTGGTACTAAACAATTTATGGTAAAAACCAGTTTCCATGTTGTTTCTTTTCACGTATTTACTGAATTTTGGCAAAATCATTTAATCAGTGACGTGTGACAACGAATTAAGCCGGTTTAAATGGTTATTGCTAACTAGTCTCTGGTAAAATTAGTGGATGATTCAATATTCAGTAGTTTTTAAATGGCTTTCTTGCTTATGTTTGATCAAAATAAAAAAATTAAACTAGATTTGATTCCAAAGTGTTCATACCTTTAAAGTACTGAAAGTGGAACTAGACTAACCTAAGAGTAGCAGTCATGGAATATGAGCGAAGACCTTGGGGGGTGCTATGGTCTGTAACAGCGGTATTCACTCATTACTTCGATAGTGAATTCTGATTTTCGTAATAACTGGATGTAGAATACACAAAAGAGATATTAAAGATAAAGTCATCACCGTAACGATCTTGAGAAGTGGAATATATTTATGAATTAAATATTTCCAACGTATTACTCGAATGTCTAGCACGAGGTTCTTCAAGAAAATAAACGATCGTACACTTTAATGTCTACAATTGTGTTCAAATGAATGTATGATAAGTGACTAATTTTCCTCTTTTTATTTATTTCTAAATATATCATTCCCAAGATACCACTAACTGTATTCAGTTTAGTTTACTGAAAGGGTTTAAGTTCCTTCATTAATTACGAGTTAACCTTTCTCTCAGAAGTCACTAAACCCAAGTATAGTCATCGAATGTAGATAAGCATTACAAACACATTTTCATGGTACCACATGACTTATATTCACATCCCAAATTAAATTCAATACGTGAATACAACTTGATATTTGTTCAAAAATTGTTTATGCTACAACTTTATTTTCGAGTATTTTGATGGTGATTACTTCATTGAAGAACCACGAACTGGACTGGCGGTGAAAACATTGTAATTTTTGTTATTTAATTTCCTAGATCTTTACATATATCATTTTATGTTTAATGGTAGAGCCTTATTTTTGTGACTGTTCGTAAATGTTATGACAAAAGTACCCATGAAATCCTAAAAGCATTTAAAATAATTGATAGGCAAAGTGTACCACTTTTGCTCCATTTTGCAGAGGTCATTACCATCAAGAGCTTTCGACCTGGCCTATGTATACAGAAAGAGTGGTAAACCTATCATTGCCATGATAAGATAGTCATATTATTTTAACGTTTGTTAGTTAAATTATCTTTCAATTAGAGTTTAGGACTTAAAGTAATAATCCCATTGATCTTCACCGATGAAGTTGGCTTTAATTTTATGTTAATTAGGTGCCTTGTTTATCACTTATTTGTTTTTACTCATTGTCTCTTTATTATCATTTCAAACTTCATTCATTTCTCCATTGTTATGATTTCATCCTCAACATACAAGTATTAATCAGTCTTAACTGTTATGTCATATATGTTATTCCCTTTTGTTTCTTAAATTGTTTCGAACTTAACTTCATTGATTATAATATTGAAGTAAATTAAGGCAGTTTACATCTGATGAGAAGCCTCAAAATGTAATAAATTCACTGTACTCAGCAAATTTTGTCCTTCTCATTTTGTTAAGATTGATCAGGATGCATGAAATGACAAATCTTTTCAAAGAAAACTTATTAACTGAGAAGAATGATAAGTCGACAGGGACACACAATTCATGTCACTGACAGTATTTTTATTTGCCTACTGTCATATCCAACTATAAAGATGATTACAATAATGAAATTGTGACGATGTATTTTGATATACTTGACTTGTTCGAGCTATACAACCAAGGTACTACTCGTTCATCACAACATTAATCGTTATGTCGAAGAAATCCAATTTTCTCTGAACTTCTAGATAAACTTTACCTTAGAGTTTAAGACCTGTATCTTGTAAATTGTTTTCAACTACTAATCTTTAACAACAGTATACGCTAATGTTATTGTCACTGAACATTTATGGCCAGATTATATACCTAATACATAGTATACATTCAATAAGAGATACTCAGTTATATGCTAATAGTTAACTAATTACAAATTAATACAATATAGATATATAAGATTCGACAATATTAAGTTATATTAGATGACAGTTGATAACTTAGAAATAATATCAATGGAACTGCAGATTTATATCACAAGTTATCAAAATATCAAAATCTTCATAATGACTTACCATATGTTTGTTGAACAACATCCATTTCTTTTAAATTCAATATTAATATTCTCTTTTTATATGTAGATCTAGATTTAGACTATTAACCAACTAAACATTTGTTATTCAATGATATTCTAAGTTATATAATTACGTTGTGTAATACTACTAATAATGATGACAGTAGGTATTGTTAATAAATTTCGAATATTTAAAAAAGTAATTTAGGTGAAAGTTTGTATAGATTTATATGTACGTATATATGTGTATGCCTAGTTGGTTTTTTGGAGAAACTCCAAAAATTAATAAAGATTGGTCATCATTAATATCATTATAAAGTCGTTATTGTTAGAATAATACTACTCACTGTTTGTCTGGTCATCTCAATGATTCTGTCTGTTCTACACACATAAAAACATATATATACTTATGCACAGATTTTTATTTAGTATTGACTTCTCCCTTTAAAGTTATATTGTTTATTGTTACTAATACTAAATATAGTGGTTTTGGCCTCGTAATATATGTTACTTTTTTTCTAACATGATGGTTAACAATGAATTTCAAGGTACAAAATGAAGGGGGGGAGGCAAACAGAACATATAAAGTAGATTACTAAATACAATATATATATATGTGTGTATGACAGTTGACAAGTAATTTTTTCTGTCATTTGTTGTTACAAGTCTATATAACACAGCTTACAAAAGAGTTTGATGATAAACACAGTCAAGACATGAGCCAATAAATGTGAGAAGCGATGTAAACACGTGCAAAAATAAACTCTATAGTTTTTGTTTGTTTATCATTCTCACAAGTTAGTTAGTATTAGTGACAAAGGCAACTTTTCTTTATGAGCATTTCAATGATGTGGTTTTTCTGCTCTTCCTTCCAATTCAGCCTATTGCCTTTAATGACAAAAATTCTTACATGCTCACACCTATACACTAATATACGATAAATAATTTGTGTACATTTAATAGGCTAACTAACATAGATATACATATACATTAGCGAGTTGTTTATCCTATCACCAAATCTCATTCATCTGTTTCGCTTACTACCTTCTTTCAAGGATGTTTATTCTCAAATCAGAAATTTTTGAGAAATTTTTACTAACCATTTTCTTTGTTTATATATATATATATATATATATATATATATATATATATATATATATATATATATATATTATATATATATATATATATATATATATATATATATATATGGATGGATGTTGCTCAACGATATTTTTAGACGGAATTTAAACCTTCGGGTGAAAACACGTGTGTTTTCCTTCCATAAAGTAATAATCTATACTGCTGAAGTCACGTGTTATATAGATATGTTTATAAACGTTAAATACGTTCATGTTTAACAATAGCTTTACATCATGATCTGGGATAAGCTTAAAAACAATTGAAAATCAATTACAACTGAACAGCACTTTGGTTTTAATCCAATACTACTCTGTGGTGGAGCAAAGTTATAAAACCGATATAGGATTGAACACAATCGATTACTTCATGAAATGATTCCATATCTTCATCGTTTTCAACCCTGATATTGATCTGATAAAAATATATGAAAACAAGACAGAATATATTTGACAATTTGTCATGAATTCTTAAAGGAACATCAATTAATGTTTCCAGTTTCGTATATTAAGTCTCATAAATACATTTAACTAGAGCAAAGTAAATATTTTGATTTGAAATATGAATATTTTTTGAATTCGAAATTTGTTTGGATCAAGGTAATATTAAATTCGCTTGAAAAAGAATCCATTTGTGTTCAAATGCTTAAAGATCCGAAATATCGATCAATAGCGGAAAGTATTTGGGTCATTAAGGTATGAAATAAACTATTGTCTACAATAAACAGTATGAAGTTAAGTTCCATACTAAGGAAAGTGTCAATGATATCGATTTGTCATTACAGAACTAATCATATCCAGAATAACCCTTCCTTTTTCTTTAAGTTACTTTGAAAAGCTTTGAATATTGTCGAATTCAGTAACAAGTAAAAACAAATATTGAATGGAAAAATTTGTCTTAAATTCCCTTTAAACTAATAGATTATAGTTAGATACTATTTGAAAAGTTATCTCTTATGGTGACATAATAGTCTATAAAGTGATTAATATCGGCCTTAACTTGATCATTATAATATCATATAGGTTATTCAACATTTAGAAAGATTTATATTTAGTTATCATATAAATGAAACCATTTGTAAACAATGTCAAGATATGAAAAGTAGTACCATTTGAAAGTCAGTATATTTATTTTCGTTCATGCAATAAAATATGAATTTACTTTTCATTACAAATGAACATAAATTGATGAATCATTGAAAACCTAGGGGTTGAATGATGTGTAATATTGTTAATGTATACTGTTCAAATGCTACGATTTGGTTACCATTCATTGTTCACCACTTTTGACTGATAGGTCATCTGATGTTGATTCATAGTGAAAACTACTTTCAACGATACAAAATTTTCCACAAAACCTCATAGAAATGATAAAAAAAAATGTGTAAATATTTTGTTTTTCTTTTCAGTACATAACTATCCATCATCTGTGACAAAAAGTAACGGTGGCAACAAAAAACGTAAAAGTAATTCAATACGAAAATATCTTTTTTCACATTGATTTAAATATTCAACTTTTAAAGTTTGTGTAATAAGTTTAACTTCAGCCTTACTGATTTCTTTTACCAAACCCTATTTACAACTCATGAAGTTATGTAATTTGTGTCATTAAAAGCTTAGTAGATTAATTTGCTCTTGTTTATTGGTATCATTATCGCTTGAAGATGAAAACATGATAAATTAGATAGGGAGGTTTATATGATGAATAATATATCTAACCCATGATCGAACGTTATTCACAATCCTTATATAGAATAATAAAACTAATCAATTTTAATGAATTTTTAAAAAAATATTTTTGTATATTTCTAAATTGGTCTTTTAATAAACTGATATTAGTTGGGTAAACCATTCAAACTTAGCAAACACTAAGCAAGTGATTTGTTTTCTAGTTTGAGATTCTTCAACTGAACGTAATCATCATTCTACCTAAAATCTAACCCATGTACTTAAAAAACGAATAGTTATGAAAAGGAGCGAAAAATAGTGGGCAGTTGGTTCAATCAAGTGTCTTAAATAACACACTTAACAATGTCATCTTAGATCAGAAATTGACTGAGGTGGAAATTTAAACCAGTATACTCCAATTTAGTAATATAAAGTCAAAGAGTTTACAACAGCTTAGTTTATTCTTGATCCAGTCACTCACGATGCGCTTTGTTGAGGAATGTCGAAATCGGAGGAAAATGTCGTCCGGCTTTCTTTGGTTTTCACTAGTTATTTGACTGAATTCACTTAACCATGGTTTATTATTAAGTGTCAAAAATATCATGATTTTCCAGTCATTGACAGTGATAGATTTGTATTTCATTGAGTCTAAGTGACTCGAATCCACCAGAGAGCATCAGCTACCACAAGCGTCAACCTAGGCTTTACTGACGAGCACCACATAGCGCAGAACTACCTCCAACCATATAATATAAAGTCACAAATAGTAATGATCTCCAGAATAAATAAACAGAGACTTTCGGCAATTCAACAATCCAATCGTTCCCACACTTATCGCACAGATACTCGGTAAGTAAGGGGAATAAATATAAACTATTGACTATAAATAAAATATTCATCTGATTAAGGCCGTCACCCACATATCCGTCTATTTGTATTACGCATTACTTATTTACACTTTTATTTTACCTTAGGCAATTGATTTACTTACATTCACTCTCAAAGTCTTATTACTCCACATAAGGATTGAGCAAGCGTTTGGAAATGTATATTGTGAACTTATCAAACTTAAGTCAACAACAACACTGATAAAATCTAATCACTGGGAGAATTGTTATAAAGTCATCGTCTAATCTCTAGAAAAGTCATTTGATGCTTAAAACTAAGAAATTAACCGAGGAAGATATCAATTTTAAAAGAATATTATTCCAGCCTTTTTCTATTTCTTGAAGGGAACAAAAAAACATCTAAAGGGGAAATTAATCTCAGTCTATCATTTTAGAGTGAAAGGCAAATTAGGAAGAAGAAGAAGAAGAAATAGTAGTAGTAGTAGCGTAAGATAAGACAGCAATAACGAAAAAAACAATAAATTACGCGCAAAATAACGGTCAATTAAAGAAGTTATGGATAAGAGTGATAGAGAAACAGGACACATTGATTTTCTTTAAGACGTTATGTTTATTATCTCTACCGTTTTATACCATAACGGATAATAGTATGATTGGTTATTTTGTTAATAAAACTAAAAAAACACCAAACAACAAAGAATAAGAAATTAAGAAAGAAGAAAGTGATTTCCTTAAGAAGTGAATTTTTTCTTTCTCTTAATTTTGAAATTATTTCTTACTACTTTTATCTACGCATTTTATAATTCTTTGTAGAGAGTGACCTATTTTACATTAAATATAATTAACTTTTTTGGTTAGTATTATTTCGTATAGGAAATGGAAGGTTTGTAGAGATTGTTAAATTCTGTAGTTTACATTACGAAGTGAACTTAGCTAGACAACCTATGAAAAATAGAAGACAATGAACATAAATTTCATCCCGTTATGGAACTCTCCAAAAGTATATTTCCATGTCCTCAATAGGCATTAAATCCAAAATCTCCAGGTTTTGCGTTAAGCGCTCAAATTTTATACAAATGAGTCGACTTCCAGTGATCTACATATCTAGTCTCAGTTAGCTCATGTTATCGGTATTGGTGGGCAACTACTTCTCACACGACAGAAATGAACCCCACTGGTCCCAACTTCTCAAAAAAACTCCATGAACCATCAATCTGAATATTTCGCTATTGGGTACATGATTAGATTGATAGAAGTAGAAAGAGAAGAATCTGTAATTACATTATGAAAATATTATTTTATTGAGATTTGTAAACTGTTTCATTGAAAAAAATCAATAAACTTCCTATAGCTAGTGGATGTTTCGTCCTT